GGAAGAGTTGTCAGAATCTGATGGCTTGCTTTTTAAGGGAAATAGAATAATCATCCCAGCTTCACTACGTAAAAGAATATTGCAGAAAATACATGTAGGTCATCTCGGTATTGAAAAGTGTAAGCGGAGAGCAAGAGAAGTAGTGTATTGGCCGCGTATAAATCAAGATATAGCTAATGTGGTAAACAATTGTAACTCATGCTTAACATACCAGAGACGACAAATGGCAGAGCCACTTCAGCCCCACCAAACTCCAAATCGTCCATGGGAAAAACTTGGGGCAGACCTTTGTACAGTTAATGGCAGGGAATATTTAGTCATTGTAGATTACTTTTCGCAATTTATCGAGGTTTGCATGCTGCACAGCACAGCTAGTGCAGCAGTGATAAATAAGATAAAGTCTGTGTTTGCAAGACAGGGAACACCTATTGAATTGATGACCGACAACGGGCCTCAATTTAACAGTGCTGAATTTAGGCACTTTGCAGCTGATTGGGACTTTGTTCATACGACTTCTAGTCCTCACTACCCCCAATCCAATGGACTGGCTGAAGGAGCAGTAAAGATAGTAAAAAATTTGATCAAAAAAGCAGTTCACAGCAATCAAGATATTATGAAGGCCCTGCAAATATACCGTAGCACCCCTCTTGAATGTGGAAAATCTCCAGCAGAGCTACTCTACAACAGGAGAATGAAAACGAACTTGCCCATGGCAGATAACTTGCTAAACTTCCAGCAACTAGACACGAAAGCATTCGTAGCAAGGAAGAGCAGGGTAAAGAAAAAGCAGCAGAAGTATCATATGAAGCGAGTAGGTTCACATGCTTTACCAGAGTTGGCAGTTGGAACACGAGTTAGACTATGGGACACTTTAAAGAATACCTGGTCTCAAACTGGATGGATAAAATTCATACTACCAAATCGCTCATATTTTGTGCAGACAGAAAAGGGAGTTTTCCGAAGGAACAGACAAATGATACGGAGAGAACCTGGGTACAATACCGACATTTTACCAAACTATTCATCAGTACCTTGTGAAAGACCAGAATCGGAAGATGAAGATGAAGAAGTCCATTTACAAGCCAATGTAAATAATAATTGTGATAATGATGGCGATAGAAATAATACTCATGCAGAAGATATAAGCGTCCCACGACGTAGTAAACGCGATTGGAAGCCAAATCGTAAATACTTTAACAATGATTACACTACATAGATCATTCTTATACTGAATGAATGACATGGCATTAGTTTTAAATAAGGACCATGTATTTTGTTGTTGTTATCATTGTTCTTTTTTTTATTATCTTGCAGAACAATCCCTTTGGTGTTTTTGATGGGTTTTGTTCAAAATTTAGTATTTAGGTTATAAGTTTAATTAGAAAAACAAATGTTTCGTTGGAATTGTGTTTATCCTTATAGGAAGGAAGATGTGTTGATTGTAGTATGCAATCTGGAGAGTGAGCCCTCTGGGTCGAGCAGAGCAGATAAATAAAGATGGCGAGTAAGACCATACTGAAATAAAACTCAATAGAGTCCGTTGTATAATGTTCTGCTGCATATAACAACTCATCACATAAATAGCATCCAAAATCCTCCTTTTTGGAATGTAAGGAAATAGATAGTGCTTTATATCTGTTGGATAGATTGTAACTTCTGATTGTAGCAACCCCAAAACGAATGGCACTTCAGAAATTTATACAGTACAGTATACCAAAACTTCTCTCAAACTTTATATCATATCGTGTTGTTTGTGTTAAATTTATTTATTTTTTTTATTTTTTTTATTTAGGCGTACAGGTTTGGCATATTTTTAAATCCTTAAGTTAAATTATTTAAAGCTTGCTTTTTATTTTCAATGAAAAATCAATGCGACCGTTAATATCGATCTTGGTACAATGTAAACCTGTAATCATATATGACTACATATACAGAATGTTACTATATTATAGGCCTAGACTAGGACCAGGCCTCCTACTAATAGTATAGAGGCCTAGTCCAAGACCTTGTTGCAAATCCCAGCCCACATAAGCCTAACCTATAATGCCAAGCATAGGGCTCGTGATCGCGGTACCC